AGTTACAGAATTGTACACTTGAAACCTATATAATTTTATTAACCAACTAGAGGCCCGATGCATGAAGATTCATGCAAGAATTGGCCTTCCTTTCCTGGGTGTCGGCAATGATTTCACTCTGGCACAGAGCAACCTTTCTGCCTTCCCATGCTGCCCAGAGGCTGTGCAGAATGCCTGCATTGTCACCATGGTGATGATGTAAGTATCCTGCCCCGGGCCACTCAGTGCCTTTGTATGCAAATTAACCCACCATATTTGTTGGGTTAATTTGCATACCCACTCCTGATTAGCTGGTGGGTGTCACAAAGGTATAGTCAATTTGCATCTTTCTCTTTTATTAGTGTAGCTGTCACCCCAGTATACTGTATTCAATAAAAATGTTTATAAAAATCAATTAAACTTGGGCTTCATTTTCAAAAACACTATTAGGCTGTGATATTTTAGTCTGAAGCTGCTCTCCAATTATTTTTAATAATTTGACTGTTGAATCTTTTGGACAACCTTATCATCTGCAAATATAAAAGTTTTATTTAGTCCTTCCAATATTTAAGCCTCTCTCTCTCTCTCTCTCTTTCTCTCTCTCTCTCTCTCTCTCTCTCTCTCTCTCTCTCTCTCTCTCTTTTGTCTTATTCTACCTACTAGTTAGGCACTCCAGTGCAATATTTAATAATAGTTGTGATACAATCTACAATAGCTAGAATTTGGAAACAGCCTAGGTGCCCGTCAGCAGATGATTGGATCAAAAAACTATGGTACATCTACACAATGTAATATTATGCTGCCATAAAAAAGAAGGAATTCTCATCATTTGCAGCAACCTGGATAGAATTGGAGAACATCATGCTGAGTGAAATAAGCCAGTCAATGAAAGAGAAATACCACCTGACCTCACTCATTTATGGATAAAAAAGAACATTATAAACTGATGAACCAAAAGATAGATATAAAGACAGTAAAGCAATGAGAAGACTGTCAAATTACAGTAGGGAGGGTAGGGAGATCTGTGGGAGATAAGAGATCAACCGGGAGGATCCAAGATGGTTGCACAGGTAAACACCTAATCGCAGCCACACACAACAATTTCAATAAAATACAACTAAAATATAAAATAGACATTACCCAGAACTACAGGAAAGTCGACTGACTGGAAATTCTACAACAAGAAGCAAGGAGAAAACCAGAAGGAAGAGTGGAGGAGCTGTAAAAGCCTAAGGGAAGCCGCGAAAATGCCGAGACAAGGAAATAGATCACAAATGAAAGAAATGGAGGGCAAAAAGCGACTGGATATAGAGTTCAACCCCACACTTATAAGGTTATTCAAGAATCTCCTAGAAAAAGACAACAAAATAAACGAGACCTATGAGGATATGAAAAGGGATCAACTAGAAATAATAAGGGATCAACAAGAAATAATAAGGGATCAACAAGAAATAAAGAATACATTGTCTGAAATAAAAAAAAATAATATACAGAATCCTAAAAACAGAATGGAAGATCACAAGAATCAAGTCAAAGATTTGGAACATAAATGGCCACCAGATACTCCTCAGCAGAAACAAGAAGGCAAGAGAATCCAGAAAGTTGAAGATAATGTAAGAAACCTCTGGGACAACTTAAAGCGAACTAACATCAGAATTAGGGGACCCAGAAGATGAGAGAGAGCAAGATATCGAAAACATACTGGAAGTAATAGTGACAGAAAACTTCCCCCACCACTTACAAGTCCAGGAAGCGCACAGAACTCCAAATAAAAGGAATCCAAAGAAGATCATACCAAGACAAATCATAATTAAAATTCCAAGAGCAAAATACAAAGAGAGAATATTAAAAGCAGCAAGAGCAAAGCAGGTAGTTGCCTATAAAGGAGCACCTATACGATTGTCAGCTGATTTCTCAACAGAAACCATGCAGGCCAGACGGGAATGGCAAGAAATATTCAAGGTGATGAACAGTAAGAACCTACAGCCAAAAATACTCTAACCAGCAAAGCTATCACTCAGAATCGAAGGCCAGATAAATAGCTTCACCTTTAGCTTTATTTAAAAAAAGTTAAAGGAGTTCATCACCACCAAACCAGAATTATATGAATTGCTGAAGGGGATTCTTTTGGAAGAGAAAGTAAATAAAGATAAAAATTATGAACAACAAATATGTAACTATCAACAAGTGAATCTAAAACCCCCCCCAAAAAAATTTTTTTTAATCTGATGAACAATATTAACTGTTGAATATAATAGAATCAGAGGTATGGAAGGGGAGTGAACTGACGATTCTCGGGGAAAAGGGGAGAGGGGGTTGTGGGAAGAGACTGAACATAATCTGTGCACCTATGGATGAGGACAATGATGGATGGGGAAAGGGCAGAGGGTGGGGTGGGAACCTGGTGGAGGGGAGCAATGGAGGGGGGTGGGGGGAGAGGAACATCTGTAATAATATGAACAATAAAGATTTATTTTTAAAAATTAAAAAAAAAAGAGATCAACCGAAGGACTCGTATACATGCATATAAGTATAACCAATGGACACAAAACTCTGGAGAGGGAGGCTATGTATGGGAGCGGGGGCAATGTTAAAATATGTACACAGATAACAATTTAATAAAAAATAAAAATTAAATTAAATTAAAAAATAATAATAATAATAATAGTTGTGATAGTGGGCACCCTTGTTTTAAAGAAAATGCTATAAATAATCTTATGTGGATGATTATTTTGTTACCCTTCTGCAAGTTAAAGATATTTCTTCCTGCTACTTTTTATTGTTTTTATCACTAGTCTTTGTTAAATTTCATCAAATGCCTCTTTATTTTTTTAATCCTTACTGCAGGAAATGTTTTCATTGAATTTAGAGAGAGAGAAAGGGGAGAGAGAGAGACAGAAAAGAGAAATATTGATCAATTGTCTCCATATATGCCTGACTAGGGATAGAACCCACAAACTATGTGACCTGCCAGGGAACTGAACCTGCAACTTTTGATGTACAGGACGATGCTCTCGTTAACTGAGCCACGTGGTCAGGGCTCATCAAATGCTTTTTTTTTTTTTTTTTCATCTGTTGATGATCATATTTTTTTTCTGTGTTAATATACTATTGCAGTGAATGACACAGATTTTTTCTAATATTAAACTTTTTTGCATTCCTGGCCTAAACCTAACATGTTTTCTTTTTTATGTCCTTTGAATTTGTTTGTTCATTGTTTTCGTATTTTTCATCTATTTTCAAGAAGTGGAAAATAGTTGTACTCTTCTCAGATCCTTTCACATTCCTTTCACTTTGCGTGCACCTCCAAGAATTCTGTATATTTTTGTTCCCAATAACCAGAACTTGCTGCTCTTTCTCAGAAGACTGCCTTGCCTGCACACTAATAGAACCCACTTTGCCCACAGGCTCAGAGAGGCAGAAGGGCCTACGAGTTTACATTTCCCTGAAATGACTTCTTAACCAGTGAGTAGGGTGAAAGTCTGAAAGCTCTAGCCCCTTCTCCCCAGATCAGGCCTGTTCTGCGTTCCCCTGGGGACCAGCTAGGAGCTACCCTCTGAGGGACTTTGCTTAAGATCACACTCTTGCTTCTCCCTTCCCTTCTGTGTTCTACTTCCTCCATTCTCTTCCTGTTTCCATTGGAAGAATTTTCTTTATAAATTACTCAAACATAAATTCCTGACTTAAGTCTGTTTCTGAAAACAACTTAATGTGTGAAATGGGCCCGTATTTGTTTTTTTCTTTTTCATATTGTTCTTGTCTGGCTTTGGACTCAGGGTTATAGTGACTTTACAAAAATTAGGTGGAGGGTGTTCCTTTCCCTCTCCCCCTAATTTCCAGTAGAGTTTGTATAAGATTAGGTTGGTCTGTCCTTTGAAAAGTTAGTGTTATTTGCCAGGGATGGACCCAGGATATGAATATGTGGTGGGGGCGGAAGTCAGGGGCAGAGGAAGGATATAGTTAGATGTAGTGTAATTGTTTCAGTCTTAGCTTTTGTTTTGGGTGGTTGTCATTCAAAATGACTAACTAAAAGTGAGTCAAACATGAACAAGTAATAATGGAAAGAAACAAGAATTATGATTAGTTAAATTCTGTACACCTAAAGTCCATTAAGGAAATAAGCATGTTATCTATGTTATCTGGATGAGGACAATGGGGGCTGGGGAAAGGGCAGAGAGTGTCGGGGGGGAAACCTGGTGGAGGAGAGCAATGGAGGGGGGGGGGAGGAACATTTGTAATAATATGAACAATAAAAATTTATTTTAAAATAAATAAATAAATAAATTTGGGGGGAAAATAAAATAAAATTTATGTTATCTGAAATTAATGTAGTTGCTGCAGCTTTCTTTTGGTTAAAAGTTGCCTGATATATCTTTCTGATCCATTTACCTTCAACCCCTTCATGCCTTTACTGCCTGCCTCCCTGAGGATCTCAGAAATCTCCCTCAAAAGCCTAAAATAAAATTGCAAGAATTACAATGCACTGCAAACTTTATAATGCACTGCAAAATTACAATGCACTGAAAAAGTCCCGTTTTCAGACAAATGTCCCCTCACCTCTGCATTTCCCTTGTGATTGTCCCTCTGTGTGTATGTCCATGTCCTTGTATCTTTTAGTTTGTCTCAAACTCCTACTTCCATGGAGAGTAAACAGATGGCTTGTTCTGGGACCTGGAGGGAATGAAAAGGGAGGGGAGTTATTTAAGAAGGATTTTGGTCATGGCGTCTTCCCAACAATTAATTTTCCTAGAATCTTACAGGTGTGTGTGTGTGTGTGTGTGTGTGTGTGTGTGTGTGTGTGTGTGCACGCACGCGCACACTTCATGTTCACTGGTCCATAGGCATCTCTTCCCTTTATCGACCCCATGCGGTAGAGTCTCTGGACCATCTTCTGCCTGGAAAGGGCCTAGAGTCTGCCACACTGGTCCTTGAGCCCAACTCCTCCCCCTTATATGTGTCGAAGGAGCTGTAAGACTGATCCCACAGCTGCAGCCCTCACTTGTGTGCTCTCCATCTTCCAGGTGCCTTTCTCCAACTGCAGCCGGATCTGCCTGGCAGGGACCAGGAAGGGAATCATTGAGGGGGAGCCCACCTGCTGCTTTGAGTGCGTGGAGTGTCCCGATGGGGAGTACAGCGACGAGACAGGTAAAGGGACAGCCCTTTGTGGGCATCACGTAGAGCTTTGGGGACCTGGTGTCAGTGGAGTCCCCGGAAGGGCTAGGCTGAGATGGTGCTCAGTACAGTTTCTCATTTAATAAGGTGTATCTGAGCATCACGCTGGGCTGGGCCCTGAAGGAGGGAGAAAAGAAATGTTAGATGTCTTACAACACCATGAGAGCTTGCAAACACACCTGCTGCACATCTTTCTTTGACTTTGGCACTACTTCCCAATATTGTTTTTCTTTTCTTGTAGCTCAGAAGCCCTGAATAGACAAAATCCTGTCTGTTCCAGGCTCCAGAGTTAATAGGCCATGACAGGTGGCCTCTGGGTGCCTGGCACTGTACTTGCTGTCTTACGCATGTTTTTCCTGTGCCTCAGTTTCCTCACCTCTAAAGAGAGAATTAAATGAGTTAATATTGGTAAAGCACATGGTAAATGTCTATTCAATACAATCCTTGATGGGCATATTGAAAGCACTCTATAAATATTAATTATAATTGCTATTATCTCATTTCGTCCTCCCCATAGTAATGGGGTTATTATGGCTTCCAGTTCATACATGAGAAAACGGAGGCCCAAAGGCTAGTAAATAGCAGGGCCAGGATTCCCATCCAGCTCTCTGACTGCAAAGCCCATGTTCTTCTCACATCCCCAAACTTCACGCTGTGAGGGACATGCCAGAGACTTACTAAACGCTCCTTGATGAAATGAGTCTATAGCCTCCTTCACTGGAAAGTCTTGGAGGAAGGCTCAGGTCATGGGTGTGCGATACTCTGCCTTGATCTGAGGATGTCTTCTCTGGCATGTCTACAAAGCCCATCCACATTTCCAGAATGAGTCAAGCTGAGCTTGAATCGTTCTGTGAAAAGTTGGTGGGTTGTGTCATACCTCATGGTAGCCACCTGATTGATCATTCTCTGCTGCAAACCATCAGCAGACAGTCTTAAAGGAAGCATGTACACTCCCCTTTCACCAATGTACCAAGGGGCAACAATTATAGAATCATCAAAGGTACCTGAAATTAAGTAGAGAATTAAACATGTCAGGGTTCCCTATATTATTTGACCATGTAAAAAAAAAATCACCGTTTTCATTGGTAAGCGCCATACAAAGTGACCCATGTACTCTCACCAGCACATTCACACCCATCCATTTTAGTCTCTGTTACACTCAGTCACTCACTCCCTCTTTCCTGGGACATTTTGACAGATGCAAGTGCCTGCGACAAGTGCCCGGATGACTTCTGGTCCAACGAGAACCACACGTCGTGCATCGCCAAGGAGATCGAGTTTCTGTCCTGGACGGAGCCCTTTGGGATCGCGCTCACGCTCTTCGCCGTGCTGGGCATTTTCCTGACGGCCTTCGTGCTGGGCGTCTTCACCAAGTTCCGCAACACGCCCATCGTCAAGGCCACCAACCGCGAGCTCTCCTACCTCCTCCTCTTCTCCCTGCTCTGCTGCTTCTCCAGCTCCCTGTTCTTCATCGGGGAGCCCCAGGACTGGACGTGCCGCCTGCGCCAGCCGGCCTTCGGCATCAGCTTCGTGCTCTGCATCTCCTGCATCCTGGTGAAAACCAACCGCGTGCTGCTGGTGTTCGAGGCCAAGATCCCCACCAGCTTCCACCGCAAGTGGTGGGGGCTCAACCTGCAGTTCCTGCTGGTCTTCCTCTGCACCTTCATGCAGATCGTCATCTGCGCCATCTGGCTCTACACGGCGCCGCCCTCCAGCTACCGCAACCACGAGCTGGAGGATGAGGTCATCTTCATCACCTGCCACGAGGGCTCGCTCATGGCGCTGGGCTTCCTGATCGGCTACACCTGCCTGCTGGCCGCCGTCTGCTTCTTCTTCGCCTTCAAGTCCCGCAAGCTGCCCGAGAACTTCAACGAGGCCAAGTTCATCACCTTCAGCATGCTCATCTTCTTCATCGTCTGGATCTCCTTCATCCCGGCCTACGCCAGCACCTACGGCAAGTTCGTCTCGGCCGTGGAGGTGATCGCCATCCTGGCGGCTAGCTTCGGCCTGCTGGCCTGCATCTTCTTCAACAAGGTCTACATCATCCTCTTCAAGCCCGCCCGCAACACCATCGAGGAGGTGCGCTGCAGCACCGCCGCGCACGCCTTCAAGGTGGCGGCGCGCGCCACGCTGCGCCGCAGCAACGTCTCCCGCAGGCGCTCCGGCAGCCTCGGCGGCTCCACGGGCTCCACCCCGTCCTCCTCCTCCCCCATCAGCAGCAAGAGCAACAGCGAGGACCCCTTCCCGCAGCCCGAGAGGCAGAAGCCGCAGCAGCCGCTCGCCCTGCCCCAGCGGGAGCCGCAGCCGCAGCAGCCGCCCTCGGCCCTGCAGCCTCAGCAGCAGCAGCAGCAGCAGCAGCAGCCCAGGTGCAAGCAGGTCATCTTCGGCAGCGGCACCGTCACCTTCTCGCTGAGCTTTGACGAGCCTCAGAAGGGTGCCCACCGCAATTCCACGCACCAGAACTCCCTGGAGTCCCAGAAAAGCAATGACACCCTCACCAGGCACCAGGCGCTGCTCCCACTGCAGTGCTCGGAGCCGGACTCAGAACTGAGCGCCCCGGAGACGGGCCTGCAAGCACCTGCGGGTGGAGACCGCCAGCCGCCGCCGGGGACCGAGGACCCCGAGGAGGTGCCCCCGGCTCTGGTGGTGTCCAACTCCCGGAGCTTCGTCATCAGCGGGGGAGGCAGCACTGTCACAGAGAACAGGCTGCACTCCTAAGCCCGGAGGAGGAGGCCAGTGGTCCAGGAGGGATCCAGAGATTTCCTGGGATCCACACATCCTCCCACAGGGAGAAAGGGCTGCTCCCAACTCTTCTCCTCCGAGGAAAGAGGAACAATAGTCATGCCAAACGCCTCCAACTTAGCTGCACTGTTTTTATGGGACAGTGAGCTGACTAATGTTCCCTTTAACATTAAAGAAAAAGAAGAGCCATGTGTGCTTCTGTGGTTGGATTCGTCCCAGCGCTGGGGTAGCCATGGTCAGATCCCCTGTTCTTGTCTCTTCTTTTGTGCTCTTCTTCCGTTCTGTCTGACCCAGCAGCCCGGAGGTGAACAGGCTTTAAGGGATTCCCTGACCCTCCACCCTCTCCTCTCTTTTCCCCATCCCACTCCACTGGCATGGCCGCCCTGAGCATTGCCGGCTGCCTAGCCCAGGGACAGTGTGCAGAGTGTGCAGGACATCATCTTGGCCACCACTAGAGTTAAGAGTCTCAACGGCAGAAGGTCTCCAGTGTTGCCCAACACCTTGATAAGGGGAAGAACGTTACACGTTCAAAACCATAGGCCAGTGGTCGGCAAACTCATTAGTCAACAGAGCCAAATATCAACGGTACAGCGATTGAAATTTCTTTGGAGAGCCAAATTTTTTTAATGTAAACTTCTTCTAATGCCACTTCTTCAAAACAGTCTCCCCCAAGCTGTAGTATTTTGTGGAAGAGCCACACTCAAGGGGCCAGAGAGCCGCATGTGGCCCGCACAAGCCGCAGTTTGCCGACCACTGTCCTAGGTGCCTGTGCCCCCTCCTGCATATGGAAACCATAAGACAGGTGGTCTTCTACTTGCCGCTGCTGTAGAAGGGTCAGCCCTCCTCCTGCCCCAGTGGCCCTGGTTCCACACACCATGTGAGCGTGGTGCCACACTTAGATTCCAGGAGGATAAAGAACCCCCTCAAGTTGCTGGGCAAGGACTGCATCCCTCCGATGAGCTGTCTCTGAAATGAATATGGCTCTAGCTACCTTTCTCCTTAGGAAAATGCTTCTGTTGCGACAGTCCATGGACAATATAAACTGATAAAAGTCACAATTTGGCTGATATAAGGCAGTATTACTGAGCTCCGTATTTCTTGCCCACCCCACCGCTCCCTCACCCCATGAGCTAAGCCCTATGTGAGCCCTCTCAGGGCCTCAGGAGCCCGGAATCTGCACCCATCCTTGCCCCAAAGGCTTCCTGAAGCCAGATGTGTCCTTGTGCCTGTGGAGAATAAGCTCTCAGCCACTGGTCCCCTGCCAGTTGCTGGGGTGAGACAGTGTGGTTTCAAGAGAGCTCTCCCAGGGCATTAGCCTGGCCCTCTACTCCCCAGTGCCATACCACGTTCCCTCCGGCAGCGGGAGCCTGCCCATGCGTAGTTCAAGAGGTTGAATGGCATGCAGCTGAGATGTCAGGCTCTAAGCACAGAAACCTAGGTTCAAGCCCTGGGTTGATCACCTGTAAGTTGGGTGACCATAGACCAGGAACGCTGGCCTTGCTAAGCCCCAGCTTCTTTGTCTCCAAAATGGGGGTAATAACCATTCTTTTCCCTCAGTGCTCTTATGTGGATTAAATAAGATAATGTATGGGCCTCTCTCTCTCTCTCTCTCTCTCTCTCTCTCTCTCTATCTCTCTATCTCTCTCTCCCTCTCTTTCTAGCACACCCATGCCTTTCCTGACCCCCTTCCCCAGGCATGTGTTCCTTGCCTCTCTCTTTCTCCTAAACTCCAAGGGCCTTTCTTTTGTCTCTGTCACTTGTTTCCTGAGCCCATTTCTTCTAGGCTCACTTCTTCTACCTCTGTGACTTCCTAAATAAACTTTCTCTTATTAAAAAATGAGATAATGTATGTAAAGTACTTTAGCGTGGTGCCTAGCACATAGTAAGTGCACAATAAATATTAGTTACTATTATTACTAAGATTGTAATTATTTTTTCACTTGTTTAAAAATACAAAACAAGCTTGTTTGTCCTTCCAGTTTTAATGGCAAGCCCACTGCTGACAGTAACATTCTCCAGTAATAAACCCAAGAACCCGGGGCCCAGGTCAAGGTGTGAGCCCTGGTGATGCCGCATGTGCTGCAGAAGGCAGCTCAGACACTGGCCCAGTGGCTCCGCACTCTGCCTCGGTGGTGTCAGCAGCCAGATCTCCAGCACCAATGGAAGACCAACCCAGTCTGGCAGTAGTCTCTCAGGTAGTTTATATGACAGTGAATTGACTAACGTTCCCTTTAACATTAAAAAAAGAAAAGCCATCAAAACCGGTTTGGCTCAGTGGATAGAGAGTCAGCCTGTGGACTGAAAGGTCCCAGGTTTGATTCCGGTCAAGGGCATGTACCTTGGTTGCGGGCACATCCCCGGTAGGGGGTGTGCAAGAGGCAGCTGATCTATGATTCTCTCTCATCAATGTTTCTAACTCTCTATCCCTCTCTCTTCCTCTCTGTAAAAAATCAATAAAATATATTTTAAAGAAGAAGAAGGAGAAGGAGAAGGAGAAGGAGAAGGAGAAGGAGAAGGAGAAGGAGAAGGAGAAGGAGAAGGAGAAGGAGAAGGAGAAGAAGAAGAAGAAGAAGAAGAAGAAGAAGAAGAAGAAGAAGAAGAAGAAGAAGAAGAAGAAAAGAAGAAGAAGAAGAAGAAGAAAAAGAAGAAGAAGAAGAAGAAGAAGAAGAAGAAGAAGAAGAAGAAGAAGAAGAAGAAGAAGAAGAAGGGTCATGTGTTTTTGTGGTTGGATACATCAGAGCACTAGGAGCGCCATGGTCAGATTTGCTGTTCATATCTCTCCTTTTGTTCTCTTCTCAATTGCTGCTCTTTTTTAAAGCTTTTAAAATATATATATTTATTGATTAATTTCAGAAAGGAAGGGAGAGGGAAAGAGATAGAAACATCAATGATGATAGAGAATCATTGATTGGCTGCCTCCTGCACATCCCCCATGGGGGATAAAGCCCACAACCCAGGCATGTGCCCTTGGCTGGAATCAAACCTGGGACCCTTCAGTCCACAGGCTGATGTTCTACCCACTGAGCCAAACCAGCTAGGGCTCAATTGCTGCGCTTAAGCCACGACCAAACATAGCAATTATGTCTGGGTGAGGCCTCAAACTTTACAGCTGCTAACTCCTTCCTCTGACCGCCTTCCTCCAAAGGGCTGCCTTTCTGTGATTTTTAAAGTAGCCTATGGATATGACAGCTGTTCGTTTGGATGAAAAGACCATAGAGGGCACCACATGGGAGCATGACTGAGATTAAGAGAAGGTTTCACACAGGAAAGCCCTGGGAGGCATCTGCTCCCCTCGCCAGGCCAGCCTGCTGTTTCCACCCTGCTCACTCCTATGAGCAAGGCACAGAGCTGAGGAAAGGTTCATATTCAACATTTCACTCAGTCTGCTTTTCTCAAAGCTGAAAGATGGATGGCTTGGTTTTTATGTGTCAGAATAGTTATGTGGAAATAGCTATGAGCTATGCAAAATGTCACATACTTATCGTTCCTAAGATTGATTTCACTGTGCAGCTCTCCCATCATGTAGTGATCTGGAGGGGAGCGAGGGGACTCATCATAGACCACACACACCGGTTACACTGAACTTCATCTCACCAGGTGCTCGAAAATAAAGCACTCTCTCCCGTTGTTCTCGTCAGAAAAGGAGACTCAGCACCACTGTCCTCATTTACATGTAGCTGGAATAGCTCTTAGCACAAAGCCAAAGGTATGAAATATGAACTCGCATTATTTTTCTGTGATAAACTAGTTTCTATCTCAAATTCCCATTCAGCCTTGTGACAGGAACGTCATCTTAGTCAACATGAAATTTTCCCCAGTAACATCAAAGATGTCTGAATCAGTGCATGGCAATGGATTTTTTTTTTTTTGGGGGGGGGGGGCTTCTCTGTAGGCCTCTCATAGTGTACCCATGCCAGAATAAACTGCAACCCCGAATAATTGCTCCGCCTCCTTACCCCCTGGGCTGTGAGCACTGAAGGGGAGTGCTCCGTATTCTGAATCAATTTAAATTTCTAGGGGTCTGACTTCAGAGGTTTGTTCCTTTCCCATCCCAGGAGGGTTTTTTGTAGTGTAAACAGGGTGGGGTTCCTCATATATGGGCAGCTGCTGTTGACATCCCTGAAAACATTCTTATCTTGTCCCCCAATAATTAATGTGCCTCCATGCTAGCATTCTCTGAGGCATTGCATCCCCATAGGGTCCCCACAGATGGGATCCGCAGTGATTTCCTCAGCTGCATCACCCCTCTCAGGCCTGCCAGCTCTCTCATGAGAGAGGGCACTGGGGCCTGGGAACTACCAGGCAGCTCTCAGGCCCTTCCCCCCGGGCACCCTACACTGCCACATCTACTTGACTGCTGCCTTCCATGCAGGCGTGAAGAATTCAAGAAGGCTAACAAGCTTCCAAGGCACCAGAAGAAAAACGGGGCACATGCCTCTACACCTGCATAGGCCCTTTGGGGAACCGAATAAGGTTCCCCAAAGATGCCCTCATTCCAATCTCCAGAGCCTGTGATATGTTGTATCGCGAGGGTAAATTAAGGCTGCAGGTGGAATTAAAGTTACTAATTAGCTGACCTTGGGATTGGAAAATGAGTCTGAATTATCCAGGTGGGCCCAATGTAGTCATAAGGCTCCTTAAAAGTGGGAGGGGGAAGCAGAAGAATCGGTGTCAGAGTGATGCACTGTCATAACAACTCCACCAGCCATTGCCGCCTTTGAATAGGGAAGGGGGCCACGAGCCAAGGAAAGCAGGCAGTTTCTAGAAGCTGGAACAGGCAAGAAGAACAATTCTCCTGAGTTTCCTGAAGGAACCAGCCCTGTGAACCTTAATTTTAGTCCAGTGAGACCCTTTTGGGACTCCAGAATTGTAAGATAATACTTTATGTTGCCTTAAGTCACTAGACTTGTGGAAATCTGTCCCAGCAGCAACAGGAAATGAGCACAACAGTCTTATTGTCATCTCCTTCCCTGAGT